ACAGCTTCTCTTCTTCTTCTCCAGTTCTACCTCTTATGCTGCTGGCAACAGTCCTCAGGTGGGTCTCCCACACCCAGCACCACACTGGTTCAATTCAGCTGGGTGTGACAAGCTGACCAGAAGCCGTCATCCACCACACCTTTGACCCAGCTATTCCCCTTCTAAGTGTCCTCCCAAAAGGGTTAAAGACATTACATTACAGTGATACATGCATACCTATGTTTATAGCAGCACAATTCATAACTAACCCTTGGAAGCAGCCTATGTCTATCAACAGATCAATGGATGAAGAAAATGTGGTGTTTACACACAATGGAGCAATACCCTGCCTAAACGCAGGTGATGGGTGTCGCGTATGCCAGCCAAGTGCTCTGTCACTGAACCAGACCCATGATCCTCTTTCAAAGAGGGCCTTAAGCCTGGAGAGAGGCATGGATTCTGAAAACTGAAAGAAACCTCAAGGAGGAACCACCAGGATGGATGTTCTGAATGCAAGGAAGAGGGGCCGGGAGAAGATGGAGGAAGCCAGTCGCAGGCCATCCTGGTCAATCAGCTCTGCACTGGCTGAGGGGAACATGGCTCACAGGTGAAATAATCAGTGTGTCCAGGTGGACAAGGCTGCCCTTCTGCCTCTCTGACGCTGAATGTGTGTCCTCCAGGGCAACCTTCGGTCTGTACAATAAGTATTGGTTGAGATGGCCTCTAAGGACTGTCCTGCTGTGATATTCTAGAATTTTCTTTGGGTCTCCTCACCCTGGTCACTCATCTATTACACTCTTTCCAGCTTTTGCACTTTTGAAAGATCTCTATGGGAGTTGTGCCAGGGCCTGTAACTTGCCACTAGAAAAGCAACCCTGCCTATCATTTATTTGCTCACTCATTCATTTATTTTAAAATCTGCTCACTGAAAACTGCTTATGCATTCATCTGCTTGATTATATATCCATTCGCTTATCCCTCCTGTAAGTATTCCTGGACCAGTACTGGTTGGGGATGGATGTGAGCATGGATCCCTGGCCCACGGCCACTTTCTCCAACTTTTCCATACCAATTAAGATCTCTAAGACTCTGTGTAATTGGGTCTTTGGGACATCATCCCTGAAGCACCCCAAAGTTTCTAAGCTGGGCACATTTCCTCTCCTCCCTCTAAATTGCATTGGGATTATACAGTCCCTTAGTGCCTAGGGAGCTTTGAAAGATACCACCTGTTTGGCCTGCCTGCTCTCCTGGAGGCTGTCAGCCGGGATGGAGCTGGAAGCTGCCCTGGCCAGGGGCGCCATGCCGCCCGTATAAACTACTGGAGGTTTTCTTTGGCCTTGATTCCACTGGAATGTGCTCGCTCTACCAAATCGGACACAAGCGATGGGACCCCACTGAGTGCCAAGCACTTGATTCTGCCAAGGGTTAGAAGCGCCACTTCATTCTATCAAGCTACAAACGATTCACTGAGTCCAGTGAAAGTCTGGGCACATTTTCACAGTTTGGAAAGCTGGGCTGGAGTGAAGCCTTGCGTCCTGCCCACCAGGATGCCGTGCATAGAGGCAGCGAGGTCGTCTGTGACCTGTGTGCCCCCAGCTCCACCCAAAGGCAGTCACTTGTCTCAAATGCTCTGCACATCTTCTAGGAATCCAAACACTCATATCCTGAAGAAGCAGAAGGTAAGGAGAAACGGGAATGTGGAGGCAGAGGAAGGAGTCAAGAGCCCTGGAGAATTATGAGGTCCTTGGCTTCCCCTCTAACTCACTGTTACTGGGTAACGCTCTTCCCCTCTCCAGGCCTGATACCCCATGCACAGCAAGGGAGTGGTCCAGCTGAGCTGTAAGACCCTGCCCAGCTCTGCCAGGGGACCATCTAGGCTGGGAGTAGCCCGTGTTTGGCAACAAGCTCTCCATTGAGTTTACCTGAGCCCTTAGACAAGAGGAAGTTGACTTACCCAGGGTGGGACCTCATCTTGCCTTTTAGAACCTGAGAGAGGTGGGGGAAGGAGACGACAGCCCTGGGGGCTGGCAGGGATGCATCACCCCAGAGGCACAAACCCAGGGCCACAGAGTGCAAAGGAGAGGGGCTCAGGCTGGCTTGGAGAGAACAAAGGAAGCCTCCCCCAGGGAGGCGCTACTTGGAGTGGTTTGTATAGAGATCGGCCCAGAGACGGGGAAGGCAGAAAGACCATTGTGGACTGCAGACAAAGCTCTCTGGCCCTGCTTCCCTTCCCCTCTCTTCCCCTAGTCCCCTTCCCTCAGCTAAAGGAGAGAAGACAGAGCTGCAAACACATCGCTGGCACGCAGGCTGCGAAGCTGACAAGACTCTAAGCGGGTCCGGTGACGCAGTCCCAGTTCCAGGGCTCTTGTCCTCATGGTTCATCCTCAGCAGAGCTTGCGCTCCACCCTCAAGCCTGTTCCTTCCCCGATGATTCTTCCGAACTCCTGTCTGGCTGTCATTTCCACGCAGGAATAAGGCATCCTGCCTAGCTCTGGAAAGCACCCTGGCCACAGGGCCAAGCATCTGCCCTGTTCTGGGTGTGGGTGGCTGGGGAAAGGGGACCTAAGCATGTACACTCATGTAAATGGTTACGCATGAACCTGTGTGTGGCATAGTCACACCCAAGCACATGTTTACATACCTGCATGTCAAACAAGTGTTTGTGTATTCACGTGTAGGTGGCTACCATGTGGGTGTATATAATATTCCAATGGATAGACAGTGACTACAGGTGCAGACATTTCCCAGTGGCTGCAGGGGATACACTGTAGAACGTGGAACCATGCAAGGAGGGTGTGGCCCCTAACCAGTCACGGGGGCTGCAGGGAAAATGCCATGCCATCTCTGTGTCTCACTCTTGCCCCAGCCTGACAGTACCTGTCTGTTGGCACTGTTAGATGAGGGTATCCCCCTCCCCCAGGAAGCCAGCCTCAGAGTCTCCCCACTGAGTCTCAGAGGGAGCTCACGGTTCACACTACCCCTGACCCTACAGAGACTTTGGACAGCCAAGTTGAGTGCTTCTATCAGGGTCCAAGACTGGGCTGTGCTGCAGAGCAGCCCTTGACTCCCTGAGGCGAAGCTCACGTGTGGGTCTGGGCACTGAGCTCTGTGTCTCTACTGTGTGAGAGGAAAGAGCATCTACAGAGACCACGCTGCCTGGACATTTAGGGGTGGTAGAGCCCCAGTGTGACCCTTGAAGTGGCCTGTCAACAAAAAGAAAGGAAGAAAAGTAGCTGGCCATGTTGGCACACACATGTAATCCCAGCAGTCCTAGAGGCTAAAGCAGGCAGACTGCAAGTTCCAGCCCAGCCTGGGCAACTTAGACACTTAGCAAGATACAAAGGAGCTAGGGATGCAGCTCAGTGCAAAGGTCCTGGGGTCAATTCTCAGGAGAAAAGAAGAAAGAAGAACAGAGGGGCAGAGAAGAAAAGAGAGGGGAAGGAAGGGGAGGGGAGAGGAAGGGAGGAGAGGAGAAGTGAGAGGAGAAGAGGGGAGGGGAAGGGAGGGAAGGGGAAGGCAGGGGAGAGGAAAAGGCATGTTATGAATGAGCTTCCTGTCACCAGAGATGTGCAAACAGAAGTAGAATGAGGCCAGGTGTGCAGGAGTGGAGAGGACTTCCGCCGGGAAAGGCTTAGAGAAAGCGGCCCGGGCCGCACTTGTTCTCACTTCTGTCCTAAGGCCCAGCACAGCGTCTGGCATGTAGTAGATCTTCAGCTCCTTCTTGATTTTGGAATAAATAAAGGAGGGAGGAACAAAAGAAGAAAGCAGGCTCATGCAAAGGAGCACTGCGAGGAACTAGTGCTCAGCTGGGCCCAGGCTGTGGCAATGTGATCAACGACACCATGCCAGGCACCCAGAAACACTAGAAGAGGTGGAATTCTGCTCCCTGGCTGGTGAGAGGACTGTGGGGAGGACTTAGGAGAAGGACATCTATCTAGAGTGACAGGAGCAGGCAGAGTGGGGCTTGAGAGAAGTAAACATCCATCTAAGCATGGTGCACGTAGATGTCACAACGCCAGGAAGAGCAAATTCAAGATTCACTTCCCTCAGATCCGTTGTGTGATCTCAATTTCCCAACCTGCAAACTATGGAAGATCCAACAAGTTGATCCCTCAGGGCATTTTTTATGCTAATACCCTGGAGCTCATAAAGTCAAAGCAGCCCTGCCTCTGCCCATAGAAACTAGGACCTAAGGCAGAGTCAAAAGATCCGTCAACTTTAGCTGGAAAGCCCACAGGAAAGGCAGGATCTGAAGGTCCATCCCCACAAACAGTTGATGAATGAGGGCTCTGTGAGGATGGGCGACTCATCCACACACAGGCCTAGAGGCCCGCGGCCTCTCTGGTGCAGGCTCCATGTGTGCTTTCACATGGAGGCCAGAGCTGGCCTAAAAAGACACAAGACTTCTGCAGCTGAGGGACAGTGGAGAAGGGCTTTCCAGACAGTGGGAATAGTTTAAGCAGTGACACAGCAGCTGCCTCAAAGCCAGGAAGACCCTGAGGCTGTCTAGCCATGGGTTCTCAAAGCTTGGTACCTGGGCCAGCAGTAGTATCACCCAGCTCTACTGAGTCAGAAGCTTTGGGAGTGCAGGCATCTCTGTTTTAATACTTTCCAGGTGATTCTGGTACATGTGCAAGTTTGAGGATTTCTGATTCAAACCATCGGTTCCCCAACTAGGTCCACAGATCACTCATCTGCAGTAGGTGAGGTGGTAGTCTGTGAAAGGGAGACCCGAGTCAAATAAATATACAAGCACACAAGAGCAGTGCTTTTTAAAAAATCACAGATAATATCAGCATACTAAAAATTCTGGGAAGCCTGCAGTAAAGAGGACTGTTAATTACTCACCTCGCATTGCCTCAAAGTGATTTTCAGGTTGCCTATTCACACCTCCATTAACATTCTCTTAGGGAAATAATCTACATCAATCCGCATCTTTCACATGGATACACTGACACCTAGAGAGGGTGCTGGGAATGCCCCAAAGTCAGAGAGCGTGTATGTCTGAGCTGGCCGCGACCCTAGCAATCCCTCAAGTCTCAGCAGAGGCTCTGTGAGCTGCCACCACCCTGCACCCTCCCTCCTTCCATCCGAACTGTGCGTCCCTGCAGTCTGCCTCATGGAGCCTGTCAACAGGACAGTGGCCTCTGAGTTCCTCCTGAAGGGATTCTCAGGTTACCCAGCTCTGGAGCACCTGCTCTTCCCTCTGTGTTTAGCCATGTACCTGGTTACCCTGCTGGGGAACATGGCCATTGTGGCAGTAAGTGCGCTAGATGCCCGCCTGCACACACCCATGTACTTCTTCCTGGGGAACCTCTCCATCTTGGACATCTGCTACACATCCACTTTTGTGCCCCTGATGCTGGTCCACCTCTTGTCGTCCCAGAAGACCATCTCCTTTATTGGCTGTGCCATCCAGATGTGCCTGAGCCTGTCCACGGGCTCCACAGAGTGCCTGCTGCTCGCCATCATGGCCTACGACCGCTACCTAGCCATCTGCCGGCCACTCAGATACCCCATGCTCATGAGCCACCAGCTCTGCTTGCTGCTGGCGGGAGCAGCCTGGGCACTCTGCCTCATCAAGTCAGCGACTGAGACGGTCATCGCCATGAAGCAGCCCTTCTGCGGCCACCGTGTGGTCAGCCACTTCACCTGTGAGATCCTAGCAGTGCTGAAACTGGCCTGCGGAGACACGTCGGTCAGTGAGGCCTTCCTGCTGGTGGGTGCCATCCTGCTGCTGCCCGTGCCCCTGGCTCTCATCTGCCTGTCTTACGCACTCATTCTAGCCACTGTCTTGAGGGTGCCCTCGGCTGCAGGGCGTCGCAAAGCCTTCTCCACCTGTTCAGCACACCTGGCTGTGGTGCTGCTTTTCTACAGCACTGTCATCTCCATGTACATGAAGCCCAAGAGCAAGGAGGCCCACATCTCTGACGAGGTCTTCACGGTCCTCTACGCCGTGGTCACACCCATGCTGAACCCTGTCATTTATAGCCTGAGAAACAAGGAGGTGAAGGAGGCTGCCAGGAAGGTGTGCGGCAGCAGGCAAGGCTGCAAGTGGGGTGGGCAGGGCTCTGAAAGGAAGTGAGGCCGTCAATGCCCGCATCAGTGTGGTGCCGGGCACAGGGCTACAGGGACTTCATCCCAGAAAGGCAACACCAAGCTCAACTAATTCTGCCGCCGAATAGCTCGCAAATCCCCCTTTGCTCTTCGTCCTGCTGTGGTCCAGGCCCAACACAGCCTCCCGCCCTGGGCCTCCACAGCACCCTCCTGGCTGCTCTCAAGACTTCAGTCTTGTTCCTGCTTCCAGTTTATGTTCCAGGCCGCATTCAGGGGAATCACTCTGAAAAGCACGTGAGACTGCACCACTCTTCCCACTGAAACTCAGAAACAGCTCCCCACGGCCCCAATCCAAAGTGGCACTCTTCCGCAGAGGCACTGGAGCCTCTCACAGCCGGCCCTCCTTGACCCACTCCCCAGTCTTCCGCCCCACAGCCTTGCCCTTCCCTGTACTGCCTACTCTGAACTCCTCTTGAATTCTCCACGCAAAACAGCTCCTCCCAACACACACTGCACGTGCAAAAGAGCCACCTAACCCTCAGCTCAGCCTCATGCCGCCTGCCGGGAGCCACCCCACTTCACTCCTCTCGCTGTGCCCTTCCTGTGATCTTGGTTTCCAGTGCTGTTCCAAGAGCACAGAGCGTCCCATCCTACTTCTGTCCTGGGGTCCAGAATTACTCAGTCGCAGTCCTGCACAAGTTTCAGAAATACATGGACATGGCAGTTTAAGGATGGTAAGCCTGGAGTCACCCCAAAATCTGAGCAGCGCTGGGATGGAGTCTGCAGACGACAGGCAAAGCCTCTTCCTTCTGGGGGGTCACAGTAGAGCCAGGAATGAGGCCCAGAGTTCCAGATCATCAGACCTACCTGGCCCCGGGACACTCACCACCCAGAGCAGCCCACAGCCCACAGGTCTCCATTCCTCCGTAGTGGCAGGAACAACCAGAAGCTCCGTGCTGCCTGTCCAGGCCTCGCCTGGCTTTGAGGGCTGCTCTGCCCCTTCTCTCCCCGTCTCTGGTGTGCTTCCATGGCTGCCCCTGCCTGGCACTCAGCCTCTTTGCAGCTTCTCTTTCTGAGAACTCAGTGAGCACACCGCAGAAACAGACCTGGAGTCCCAAAGCACTCCACTCTCATCCCTGCTCTGGCCTCTGTGGCCTCTGTACTGTGGGAGGTCTGGGCTTGTCTGGCTTCTCAGCAAGAGTCCAGCCCTCCTGCCCACTGACTGCAGGCCGCAGCCCAGCGTGAGCTCCCAGCCTCTGCCTCCCAGGCCTTCTGTCTGCTCCCTGTGTGGGTCAGAGCAGAGCCAAAGGAGAAGGCATCATCATTCTCAGTGGCTCCCAGTCGCTGGCAGACTCTCTAACCTTCTGACCATGCCCAAGTGAAGGCTGGTCAAGGCTGGCCAAGGATCGGCCATCCTGCTGGGTCCTGGGTGCTCCTGACGGGAGTATGGACTTTATCCTGTGGCACTGGGGATCGCATTCAGACTTACTTGTAGAAGAGTCACTGGTTGGACACCATCTTCCTCTGTACGTTTGATGAATTTTTCACTATCACATCTATTATTAGGTAAGGTACAGAGTTAAACGCTTCTGGGGGAGATGGAACAAATGGTCTTCCTGCAAAGAACCTAGGGAATATGAGTTAAGAGCCTTAAAAATGCCTGGGTTGTTTTGAGCCCACACTGCTGTCTATAGGACTCTAACCTAAGGGGTACAAAGATTTATATATAAAGATATGAATCACGAGTTAGTTGTTTAGAGTAACAAAAACTTACAATAATCTTCATGTCCAACCACAGAAGAAAGTTTAAGTAAATCCTGGGGGCATCCATAACTGTGATGCAGCCACTAAAAATTTTTTGAAGAATTTGATGATAAAAAATGTTCACAATAAAACTAATAGAAAAAAATCTAATGTTGTACTCAGTATCTTCATAATTTTGTTTTTAAAGCATTTTTTCATATATATATATATATATATATATATATATATATATATATATATATGGGAAATTCTGGGAAGCTAAGACAAAATATTAACCAACAGTTGTTTTCTCTGGATGATGAGACTGCAGGTAAGTACTCTTCTCTTATTTTCAATATTGCCCAATATTTCTAAAATGAACATGACTTTGAGCTTTTAAAAAAAGTTATTCATTTTGAGAAATAGGAGAGAGAGTAGGTGTGAGAGGAGAAGGCACAGCTTGGGGTGGGAAATAAGGAGCTGCTGCAGGAGTCAGGTACTTGAGGTGAGCAGTGATGCAGAGAAGGGAGCGATGAGAAACATTTGGGAGATGCTGACAGGCGCACATAAACAACATTTGGGAGATTAAAATATAATATGTAGGAAAATACATGAAGAGAGCACAGCAGATGGGGGCAGGGTGGCCACAATGAATTTGTCTTGGACCTGTTGAGTCCAGGTTTCCAAAGGGACACAAAGGGGCACTGTTGTCTGAGGAAAGAGGAAATAAGTACAAATAATGTCCCAGTTTTTACTTTGACCTGTGTTCCTGGTAAAATTCCAGAAGAATCACAATGTACTACGATAATCTGCAGCGTCTGCTGCTTTATTGAAGGTGATTTTTTTAGTGTCTAAACTGTGTCAAGTTATTATTCTGTATTGTGAAAGTACGGGAAGGAAAGGGAAAAGGAATAAAGGAGCCTGTAAAAACTCAGGTGCTTGAACCGATCTGTGACTTGGAAGGTCTCTCTACCATACTGAAGGTGTCACATCTTAAGAGCAATTAAATTTTCTTAAGCTTGGATGAATCCAGGGCCTCCTAGCAAGGAGATAAACATGTCACAGGCCAAATACCTAGGCCTAGTAAGGGGAAGTGTTGGGCCCAGTGTGGCATCCAGGGTGCAGGGCTGCAGAAGGCCCAGTCTTCACTTTTCCTGTCCACGTCTCTCCTCTGCCCTCCTCACTCCAGCAGGGCTCCCCTGGGGCAGAACAAGGAACCTGGAGTCTCTGAAGCCCGTGTCCCTCAGCTGCCCAGCCTGCTACTTCGTGTAGTTGCAGAGTTTGAACTTTAAATTGGGCAGGGACTGTGAGGTCCCCAAGAGTAGGGAACAAGCAGGCTGTCTATGTGACAGGGGACCAGGAGGGTGGTCCTTGGGGCCCCACACCCTGCCCACCCTAGAACCATGTGCTGCTGGTAATGAACTCAGCACCTCCCCTGGGCTCCCCCCACGCCTCAGGTCAACTCACCTGGCTCCAGCTCTTGCATACACTTCAGCAACTGGGCGAGTATTAGGAGGTAAGGTGCCTTTGTCTGGCATGTTATTCTCATGAAATCTTTCTAAAACATTTAAAAGTCACAGTAAGGGGAGAGCTTCATAACAATAATGATAATAATATTGTTCACCACTCACTATTTACTACATGCCAGGCTCTGTGCTAAAAGCTTTACTTCATCTCACTGGGTCCTCAAAATAAACCCCTGCTCCAAGGAGACGCCACTTTTGCCCACTGCATGTAAGGACACTGAGGAAATGGGAGTAAAGGGCGGGGCGGGGCTTGGAGCTGGCTGGTCTGACTCTAAAGCCCACCCTCAACGTCTCAGCCACACAGGGAGGGAGCAGTGACACAGGAATCTCTGACCCAAGCATTTCCAGGAAGCTGTACCTGAAGCTCTCCTCTCCTTATGCCCCTTCCTTTCTTTCAAGATAATTTATGAAGCCTAAAGTACTAAATAGCAAAAGTTAAATTTCCTGCCAATGAGATTGATGTGATATTTACCTTGCAAACTAACCCTGGTCTGTCAAATCTCAGGGATGGAAGTTTCTAGAAAGATGTAAGAAAATGTTTTGGAGATTACGGAATACAAGAGATCACTGAATTGAGTAGCTCTATTTCCCAGAAAGAGACTCTGGGCCAAAGTCATAAGCAGAACAGGAACAAAGAATCAAATCCAGGTCCTCCGCCTCCCCATCCACTCAATTTCCTTTCACTCTCTGAATTTGGTTTCTGGGAGCATGACAGAGTACGTGGCACAGCAGACAGATGGTAGAATAGCTTTATGCGTGTGTTGTGAAACACCGTGGTATCCAAATATAGAGTCTGCTCAGTAATATTTCTGGTTCTCTTCCCTCCAGGCACGTGTTAGAACTACAAGAAGCTAGTGGCTTGTAGGCAGATATGAAGTATGTCACTTCTGGTACCAAGCATTCGCCTGTTTGTAGGAGATTCTCCAGTTCGTCCTTCCCACCCATCGGTGCAGCTTTCATCAGCCACGGTCTTCGAGCAGAGCCCCTGAAGCCCACCACATACATGCAGCATGAAAAGGAAGGAAACCTTTCTTGGGTTAAGTCACTAAAATTATGAGGTTGTGTGTTACTGCAGCATAACCCAGCCTACCCGGCACTGCCTGACTTCCCATCCTGTGCCCACATTACAGAGCCAAGGCTCCTGGTAGCCTGGAAGGCTGGTGTTTGCTGGACTTAGACTTCTTTGGGCTAGTTCTAATTTCCACGAGTATGCTATCATCAGACTCTTAAATCGCAAGGAAGCCCACCTGCCCCTGGTGCGGCCTCCAGCGAGAGCAACTGTTTCCACTAGTAGGAGACCAGCCCCCAAAGTCCCAGGCAGTTACATGGGTTCAACGCTCTGCTGGGGGGTCTGTGGGCGGGGAGGCTGTTGGTCTCGGAGTGGGACTCCGGAACCAGGTTTTGACAGAACAGCAGCGCTGAATCTGAATTAACAGTCAGCTCAATCTGAGTGCTGATCGCTGACGCTCGGGGTGCAGGGCAATGCAGGGTGACAGTGAAGCACAGACTTGTCCCACAGACTAGTGAGAGAGGAACAACAGAGAAACCACACTGTGGGCAGAGTGACGTGTGAGCAGCGGGGAGGGCCATGGGCTGGTCCTTCTACGCAGGCGTCAGGGAAGGCGGCACAGGAGCCATGGTCAGAGCTGAGCCTTGAGCAATGAGGGGGCAGGAAAGGTCGGGCCAGCTCCAGAGGGTTCACGGGGAGGCAGACAGGACTGCAGTGCGCAGGCGTGGTCCGAATCACAGAAGCCGTCTGGCGAGGCTGGAGGAGTGTACGTGAGGGTGCAGTGCATCAACAAAGGAGAGCAGACAGAGCCTGCTCATAAGAGCCTCTGCCACCCCCGCTTGGGGCTTTTCCCTGAGAGGCAAGCATGAGAAAGAGAAATGCAGAGTCGGAGGGTTC